CACAAGCAAATTCTGCTGACTTGAATCACCCTCAAGTCATCCACCACCTTATTGACGTGCACCTGTCGCCTCCCAAATGCCTTATCCTGTGACATCTGGCCTATCAACACTGTATCCATCTGCTCTGCATGCGTGCGGGCGTGCGTGCATGTGTGTGTGTGTGTGTGTGTGTGTGTGTGCGTGTGTGTGTGTGTGTGTGTGTGTGTGTGTGTGTGTGTGTGTGTGTGTGCGCGCGCGCCAGGCCACGAGCTTCGTGACCTCCTGTGCGAACAATAAGAACTCTCATTAGTCAGGCTGCTGAGCCAAACACAGTGGGAGAGAGTAACGCAACCTTTTGGGTCGCGGCCCAGACAATAAGCATCTACATATGGACACACACACACACACACAAACACAGGATAAATAAAAACAAAACTGACCTTACAGGACAAGATGATGTCACCTGCTGTAATACAACATTGCAAAATAATTCCTATCATCACGACCACAACAAGAAAGAGTAGATACAATGTACGGTAATTCCAAAAAGCACAGTTCAAAATTTGCAGTCAGTGCCAGGGAATGCCTGTTGGAACAGCTGAACTTGATTTCGGCTTATTCAGAGGACTCCCATTTAACCTGCCCCTGAAAATGTGATGTGAATGATTATAAGTAGGTGTGCACATTTGTGCAACCACATTGCTTCCATTTTTTTTCTTCAGTTGAGCGGTGCAGGTTATTGGTCACGTTAGTGGTTGAAAAAGTTTTGAAATGGTTTATCTATTTATTTTTTTGACAGTAAAATGGCAACCCTTGTGAGGATAAGCGGATCGGAAAATGGATGGAATAAAATGGCATTTGAACAGGGGGTGTGTTGACTTTTTAGATCCACTGTACATTTACAATCCAAAGAGAAAATTCTACAAATTTATCCGCAACATATTCTCTTGATTTAGTGGCATTCGTCATAGTTGCACTGTTTGTATTTTTTTTTTCATCCAATCGTCCGTGTTGCTATGTCAATGTAATCTGCCCATGGCCTTCACAATCACTACCGTTGGCCCATTGAACTTTTCCACTACATTTCCACCCCCCCCCCCCCCCCAAAAAAATTACATTTCAAATTTCTCCTCATTGGGCCGGCCAGAGTTCTGTCCCTCGATTTTTCTTGTTCTCTCATTGGTTAATCAGAGTAAAACAAATTCAACAAGATAACGCAGCATCTGTGGCACACGCATGCACGCGACACATAAAACAAAACCTGACCTTAAGACGACAAGCTGTTGTACAACATGAGTCCGAACATAATCGTCACGACCACAATACAAAGTATAAGAATGACCCTAATTTGTTTTGTGGCTGTTGACATTCTCCCGATTGCCCGCAGTGCTTCCATTTAAAAAGCGTATTAAGGCGAAGGGCTGTTTGAAGGCTGATAGTGACAGAGGCGCATTCAGCTGCTTTTACAAAGCGCACCACTTCGCATTTAGGAGAAGGGGGCGGGGGGTGGGGGGGGGGCTTCAGCAAGCCTCTGATTTGTGATGACTCAGCATGTGCCCCACGGAAAACGGATGGACTGTTTTTGTTTTGAAACCATTTACCTTCAATCAGCCATTTAAAAAAAAAACATTTACCCCAGGAAATACTTATAGCAAGGGATTGGCTGCATTTCCTTCATCAATTATGGCAAGAATGAATAATAAAGTGTTTAATCAATTAGTTGTATCTTAAAACAAATTTGAAAATGTTTACGTACCAAACACATGGAACACGTGAGTTGTACCTTGTTTTCTTGTTACCTGCTTCTACAAAACTATCTTGTTCGTTCAACACAATGTTAATGCTAGTACAAGAAAAGATGGGTATCTGCCATTTTGGTTTGAAGTGGACATTTTAGGGTCAAATCTGATTTATTTATTTTTTTTACGGTCCTTCACAGACATTCTCAAAATGTTATGTACTAGATGGATTGACAATTCAAAACTGTTTTCAACATTGCATGTGGGTGGTTGTGACTCACCATAAAACACCAAACTCATCTCTTGAATTGTTGAAAATTCAGCCCCCGAAGCCCAAGTTTCATTTGGCAACATGAAATTTGGCAGATGTGTTATATGATGACCCACAAAAAAAAAGTCTCAAGAAGCCATGCCTGGAAAGATACAGGAAGTCAGCCAGTTTCATTTGAAGCGGCATTTTAGCCTCCATTCAACGATAAAAACTTCTTGGCAGTTCATCCCATTGATACCAAATTTAGCAGGAAGGGCAATGACTGACTCTTTACAGTAGTGCTCACCCCATTGCCAGCCAATCAAACAACCACTCACACTGAAAAATTTTGTGCCTTCAAGTATGCTAAAATATGTGTTTTTGTCATGTGGGAAGAAGCAGGTACCCGAAGAAAATGAGCTAACCTATCCAAAATTATCAATTCAAGAAACCATTTCAAGATAGCACGTGCATGTTTTTTTTTTTTGGTAAAAAAACTGTCAGCAAAAATATCAACTTTAATTGTGGTTGCCTTCAGCTGCTCTGAGAACTGCTGTGTCTCCCACTTTGGCTTGAGTGAAACTTAGAAGGCTTAAAGTTGCGATGTGAAAAAGTAGCCCGCCGTTAATTACAAACAGAAGTCGGAGAAACCACTTAAGGCTTTAAAACGTCACCATTAAGCAAGATGAGGATCAATAGACTTCAGGGAGAGGGGCCAAAGTATGGACGAATTCAATTTCAAACTGCAGCCAATGTAAAGACAATAAAACAAAGTAAATGGGCCTTGCAGAGAGCACAGCAACGATGCGATTTCAAGCTAACGACTTCATGAGCCACTATGGCAACACGCTTGTTTATAGACGCAATGATTCCATAAGGTGGAAGGTTACCTCGAGCCATAAACCGTTAAAACCTTTAGGCCGGCCCCGCGCGCAATAAAACACTGGCAGACACAGTCTGCCATGAAGCATTTTTTGGGTTGTGGCTTGATGAGTCAAGTGGTGGTTTATGGCCCTGCCGGAAGTGGCGCCTACCTGCATTCAAAACGACACTTAAAGAAATTCAAAATTATATTTGTAGGCCCTACCTGTGGATGAAATAGTGAAATGGCCAGAACACATGTGAGTGCGTCGTGCACATTGCGTCATTGAGTGATCGAATGTGCATTGTAAATTTAAGCGAATCAACCTCAAAATATCGAAGATTAGACTTTTAAAAAGCAAGAATGTGTTGATGTCATCGTATTCATTTACAGAATTCATATCGGTGGCCTCGTCAGGCAGGCATCGGTGAACTTTGCTGGTGCCAGGCTATCGGGCCACTGTTAACGTCGGACCCTCTTAGACAAAGCAGGGATTTCACTTTCAGGCAACAGTGAAATTCGTCGTCATTATCACCGTCACCATCATCCTCATTATCATGGTGATTGTTAGGGAGTAGGGAATGAATGATTCCAAAAGCAGTCGTTCTCTCATTCCATACTACGGAATCACTACAAAGGCATTTTTATATCGTCAGGCCGAAGCTGTATTTTATATAAAAGTATTGTTTTGGCACTATCTTGGTAGTATCTTGGTATCAAGCAACTGCGCTGAACTGTGGGGAGGAACTCAAGAATGTTAAAAATGTGAATAAAAACCCTGTTTATACTCGACAGAATGGATTCATTTCTGTTTTCTAGAGCGAGCATCACCTCAATATAGAAACAAATCTCATGAACCATCGTACGGGAACCCGTGTTCATTTGTGTGGATTTTGATGACGAGGCTTTAGTGCAAAACCTGCACGTTTCATCACTATTGCTTCACTCACGCATCACATTAGTAACTTGGGTGAGCAGACGTCATGTCACCACGATGCAGTCAGTCCAAATGATTCGATGCAGCTGAAAGCTTCAATTGAACCCAACAATTCTTACACTGCTGATGTTGAGCACAACCCTCCTCTCATCGTACGTAGCCCAAAGCCAAGACAGAGGAGCTAAAGAGGATAGTAGCTCCCCCTGGTGTCAGCTGCCTCACAATCTCCAAATGAACACAAGAGGCAAATGTGTCAAACTCAAGGTTTAGGGGCCAAATCTGGCCCGACACATCATTTCAGATGGCCCACTAAAGCAAATCAGGGGTGTATACTTCAAATTTCTCAAGTGCGTTTGTACCTGTCATTTTAATCGTCACCAAATGTCAACATTTTTCTTTAGCCTTAACAGATATTACAAGCGTTTTGCCCACCACCAAATCCCTTCTGAACATGAATTGAACCATGGTAGGTGTATACTTAAGTGCCTTGACATACAAGTGACCTGACGAACGAGTTTTGAGATACAAGCTGTTGTCCGGACAAATTTCTTTGCCTTGACTTGTTACAAGCGCTGGATGGTGGCAGCGACTCAACTCACTTCACAACAAGTAGTTGTTTGTCAGATAGATTTCGGAAAGATTAAATAAAAATGCTCTTTCACTGTCGAACAAAACATAAAACACAAGAGAGTTACACGGCATAATTCAAATAGATTTGGCTTAGACTTGCCCCTGCTAGCTTGATGCTGACAAAAATACAAAATAGCATTGACATGTGAATGACGGGTCCGAGAACCATTTAGGCAAATCATGTATTTAAACATAAGCGGTATTCACAATCATATATTCTTCATCCTCTGCAATAAATGATATTTATTGCACAGTGACTCTTTGTTTGCCTATGACTGTATTATACCGCCACCTAGTTGGCACACCAGAAGGAGCAGCACAATAAATTAATTTAAAGTATTAAATCAAGAAGCACAAACTGTGAAATTCTTTAAATTCAACTCGATTATGTCATTCGCGTATGTTTTCTTAAGTCAGACAAAGTATCGGGTGTCGTTTTTCTCATTAAAGAAAGCACATTCACATTTTTTGGGTGGGGGGGACGTTGTTTTGCAATGCTGCGGAACAGATTATTTGAGATATCAGTGTTTTTAATGAGTATCAATCAAAAAAAAAAAAGTAAGGTGAAGCTTTAGTGGCTAATTCCAAAGAAAAGTGCCTTACCTCCTCCACGGTGAGGGGCATGCAGATGCGGTACTCCTTCATCAACATAGTCTTGAGCGTAAAATGTTGTTCCCGTTAAAAAGCACACTTGCGTCCGACTCGTCAAGCTTCAAGTGAATCTGTCCCGTCGAAATCATTCATTGAGAGGAACGAAAGCCATTTTTTTGCTCTCCTCCGCTCCCAAAGACGCTGTAAAGTTCACAGATGCCACCCTGATCATGGGCTCACTTTTATGGTCCTCCCGCTGGAGATCCGCCGAGTGGCAAGTGAGGCCAAAACTTCCAGAACTGTAAATTGTAGGAGCACCAGCAAACGGCGACTCGCAACCACTCCGTTTGTAGAAGTCCACTCCTCCGCTGCGTCCGCGGCAGCTCCGAGCAGCAAAAGAACGCGGCGGTCTGAACTGAAGCGACGCCGTCAAGTTGTAGTGAGTGGGGAAGGCAGAACAAGAAGTACAAAAATCAGATTTTCACAATAAATAATCGTGTTGCTTTTCAACGCTCGCTAAGGGAACGCATCTCGTTTTAGAGTAGCGCTTTTCATCGTATGAAAGATTAACGCACGCGCGTCTTTAAACCTGTGTTAATTTCTTCGTGGTCGATTTGTGTAACTTCCAGTATAGTTGTATTTTGGAAACCGAGACAGGAAGCTTTCACAGGCGTTTTTTTTTCGAATCAGTGCTGGTATGGCTTCATGACCTCAATGATTTAAAAGTCATAAACGGGATTTGAACGTAATTGAAAACGCAACAAATGAACACATTTAATACACTTTGAGGAGTTTTACATTTCGTCACACAATGAGGAGTTTTACATTTCATCTGAATCCTTGAATAAAATAATCGTAATAAAAATACGTCAGTCGTGTTAGTGTTTTTGTACTGTGCTTCAAAACAAAAACGTAGTGCTGATAAAAATGAACTCATGTACGTTTTAACGCTTCTTCTCACGTCTGCTTGAAATGTATCTAAAGGGAGCTGACCTTGGTCCTGAAATTTCGCCATAATTCACTTTACCGTATGTTAAAAAAAGCAAGCCTAGAAGCCGGAATGCATTTCAAAACGAATTCGTAGTGTATGTCATCAATTAAAGTAAGAACTCATTCGAAATTACAGACCGCAATAACCTTCAAGGTTTCATATCCATCTCAATATTAATCAAATTCCAGATGTTTTCGTGCTCTTACAGCGGAAGGTTGAAAATCTCATTTGTACTAAATGGTAGGTTCGATGCAAAGTTTATTTTTCCATAATAGCTCAACACAGCAGTGGTAAACGAATTGGTGAAAAAAAGCCAATGTATGTATGCTTGACACGACCTTTTCCTTTGTATAATTCTGGAAACAAGTACTGTATATGCTTGTTAAGATTAAATATTAATACTGACATCTTTGAAATGTATGGTAGTAAAAACAGATTCATGTCCCATCCATCCTTTAAGTAAGTGCATGCAGTTTTTTTCAATGGCATATGTCACGACAGAGCTGTTCTTCAGTGTGAGACAAGCCTGAAAGAACACGAAAAACATGTTCCACCAATTTACTCAAATTGAATATCTCATAATTTAAAAACAGTTTGTATTTCTCTCCTTGTCTTACTCGTCCCTCCGAGAGACCGTTTAAAACAAGATGAAGTAAAATAAGCTCGGATAAGATACCACGACATAGTATAGCTGCACACAACACAGTAGATTGTAGAAAACAACAACAATAAAGTAATAGAATACAAGTGGATTGCTATTAATTCACTCCAGGCCACGCAAAAAAACCCCACAATTTTGTTGTGTGATTTATGAGAAAGAAAAATAGCAGTTTTGTATAAAAACATATTGAACGAGCATGGAAAGAAACTGGTTTCATCGTTAATGTACAGTACTATACGTACTGTAGTATTCGTATATTCATATACAGTATTGGATGTGTGCATTCAAGGGGCGTGGCCTAGTGTGCGGCATGAGCAGGTGGAGTTTGCTCGGCTGGTTAGTTTGCTTCTGAGTGTCTGGATGTGAGTTGTGTTCAACAGCAGCTGTAAATTGGAACTACTGAACTGTACTGTCATGTAGAGTTAATGAATTATTTCTTCTTTTTCAAAAAAAAAAAAAAAAAACAAATCTTCAAACTATATAGTAGTTGGCGGCCATTTTATTAGAAATGGTTCCAACAAACTACCGCTATAACGTCCAAATTTGTTATTTCCCTCGAGGTTGAAATGTACACAGTGAGTGCTTGTGTGTGTGTGTGTGTGTGTGTGTGTGTGTGTGTGTGTGTGTGTGTGTGTGTGTGTGTGTGTGTGTGTGTGTGTGCGCGCTTGTGTGTCATCTTCACCCCGGAGCGAGCCACTCAACCAATCATATTAAGAAGGAAGCAAGTAATTCGTTTTAATAATAGATTGCAACGTAACCATTTGGTAGGCTATGCCTTTCTAGTCAAATAACAGTTGTGTTGTTGCACTTGACACAAATGAGATGAGGATGATCGAAATGGTTATGTTTTATTTATCTTGCAAAATTTCATTGCATTGAAAAATCATCAATAAGTCAAGAGTTGAAGTGGCAGTAAAATTGGCCAAAATTCAGATGTGGGAAGCAAGGCAAGAAACTATTTGCATCACTTTTTTTTGTTCATTTGTCATTTAGATGTTATGAATTGCCTGGTAGCTTGAATTTTATCCTCCCAACTTTCTGTCTGAAACATTCCCAAGCCAAATAGTTCAGAACTTTAATACCTTTTGTTTCTTAGTTTCTCAACCCAGCGACCTTGTGTAATAAAATGCATTCGGACGAGTGTTTCTGCATATTTTTGGAACGTGGGAGGAACATCTCACCCAAGCACCAGAGAACCATACAAACTCCACACAGAGAGGCCAAAATTAAAATTCTAACATTGGCTGTTGCAGAGATGACGGACCAAATGTGTATAATCATTATATAAAGAAACCTTCAGCTGAATCAAACTGTTTTAAAACGTGATCATAAAACGTAAGGGCTAAAACTATTGTGCAAACTCAGGACAGATTTCTGGCAGCTGTAATTGACATTTTGCAGATCTGGACACATGAGGGCGCCATGCTCTCGCAAAGAATTGACTGTAGCTGATGGATCCTTTAGTTGTGCAAATGTTAAGTCTCATACGCGTTGTTTTCATAAGTAGAAGAAAAGGTCCGATTTTTTTCCCATAAAAAGAAATTTTATATACAGTATATATATATATATATATTTCTGAACCGCTTCATCCTCACAAGGGTCGCGGGGTTCAGAGTTCAATCAGCCTGCCATGCATATTTTTAGAATGTGGGAGGAAACCGGAGTACCCAGAGAAAACCCATGCAAGCCCGAGGAGAACATGCAAACTCCACACAGGGAGGCCGGAGCTGGAATTGAACCTGGTACCTCTGCAATGTGAGGTCGACGTGCTAACCACTGGCCCATATACACCCAAAAAAAAAAAAAATCACACAAAAACGAAAATTTTACATATATATATAATTGTATAAAAAATTATATGATATAAAAAATTCATTAACATGTTTATACTGAGGCACACTTGCTGAATTAAGAAAATAAAGCTGCATTTCTCCGAAACGATTGCTGTGCAGCTGGGTGAGCATGTGCTGCAAAAAACACAATGAAGCTTATCGCACATTAACGCCTCGCTAGATTTAATTGATAGTTTTGATCATCTGACTCCCACACAGACGGCAAATTAAAGTGCGACAAATAGATATCTTGCATGACTTCCTTAGTTACCGCAAGGCAACACCTGTAATTGGACGGCGTGCCCCCCTGCCACCCGCCCCCTCTCCCCGATGATACCTGGTACAGTTTGGCCGGCACATTCCGATCGGCTGTCACACAGCCGCGCACACAAACAAACAGCGTGTGTTCCGGCTGGTGGCGGCGAGGAGAAGCTGTTGCTAAGAGACCTGCCTTTCTCGCCTCTCCACATCATTAGCTGGCCTTTAACGTCCGTCACTTCCCCGCTGCCGCTCTGTTACCGTGCAGAAAGCGCCTCGTCTCTCAGCACGTTCCATAGCAGACGAGACTAAATTAATAAGGGGCCTGCCTTATTGGTGGCATCAGGCAAAAAGAGGGAAGGGGCGGGGGGTGGGGGGGGCGCACTGGCTAAAGGTGGATGTGGCCGATCGGCTTAATAATGGCATGACATCCAGAGAAAGAGGTGTGTGTGTGTGTGTGTGTGTGTGTGAGGTGTGTGGGTTCTTTTTTTGTTTCGCTTGATGTCACACTACTCGGACGACTGTGGAAAACAAGCCTGAGAGCTACTGTAAGTAGTACTTAATTGTAGAAATACTGTACGTTTCAGGTTTTGGGGGTGTGTGGCGAGAATGGTGTCACATGCATTGGTATAGCTGCTTTAGAGTGCCTCGTTGTAGGCCACGAGTGTATGCACGTCACACAGAAACTATAAGAAGAGCGAGGATGCAGGAAACATTTTTCCCGAAGTAACACTTGACAGCCAGTGTGTGGAAAGTGTCTTTAGGTTCTCATGGCTGCTTTAGAGTCCTTCGTTGTTGGCCGCGAGTGCACGCACAAAAAGAGAGAGACAGAAGAGCAAGCAGGGGGGATTTTTTTTTTTTGTGCAACTTGACAGCCAGTATGTCGAGTGTGTATCCTAACAAAGACATAAAAGCATGTGAACACACACACACACACACACACACACATACACACACACACACACACACACGCACACATGCACATGCTCACATTCAGCAAAAACTCGCAAAAAAATCACACAAAAACGAAAATCATTTCACGCTTAAAAATAACTCACATTCCTAAAAACTCAGTCATGAAAACAGAACTCAACAACACACCTCTTGCACATAAATCAAATCAAAAACCTCTCACTCACTCCAAAATTTTCTCGCACTCATCCAAGAAACCTCACACTTGCCAAACACCTCTCATGCTGAGAAAAAGTCACGCAAACTGAATCCCCGCACACACACACACACACACACACACACACACACACACACACACACACACACACACACACACACACACACACACACACACACACACAAATCTACACTGCCGCCCCAACTCCTGAAAAACCTTGCACACATTAAAAAAAAAAAAAAATCCTCACAGTCACTATAAAAAACTCAAATCACCAAAAAGACATTTGACTTTCAGAAAGAAATTCACTCACTCCAAAAAACACACTCCTACACTCACATCTGAAAGACCGCTCAAACATCCAAAAATCAGCACTAAAAGACCTCCCACTCACACAAGAAACGTCTCACCTCTCACACTCACTAATAAAAATCCCTCTCTCACACAAACAAGTTTTGTTATTCAGCAACGGGGCGAGGGCGGAACTTGCATGGGTGAGCCAATCAGCGTCCCAGATGTGAGATGGAATCCAATTCTTTTTTTATATATCAAGTACTGTACATGACAAAGTGGTGGCAAAAAATCAAGGCCGCCAATCCGCATCAATCAACTGCTAGAGCTCCAACTCGGAAACTTTATCTCCGGTCCAAAATATGAAAGATCAATATTTCATAAAAAGCCAGCCAAGAAAATCAAGCGACGAAGTGGCATCTGACTTGCTGCCATCCCCGCCGTTACCATGGCGATGCAATCCACCTCTTTGATTTGCTTACACTCCAAACATGCATGAAGGGAAGTTGAACAGATGAGTTTGGAAGCGGCTCGTTTTGCAGTCGAGCGAGTTAT